GGGGAAGCTCCCTGGGACTGCCTGGGACACAGCCTCTGCCTGGCCAGGATCTCCCTTGTGCCGAGGGCATTGCAGAACTGAGACCCCTCCAGGATTAAAGAACAGCTGAGCTGGGGCATTTGCAGACCCAGGGCTTGGCTTTGGGTGCTGCAGTTGGCATCAGGCTACCTAAATCCCCCCTCTCCACATCTCCAAAGACAGCAGCTCCTTTGGATCTGGTGGTTAAAGCCACCCAGGACACCTTGTGCTTGGGGCATCACCTCAGGTAAATCACAGCTGTGGAATTTTATTCCTTCTGAACATGGAGGAATGAAGGGATAGGCTTGATCTTGCTCAGCCTGGAGCAGGGAAGGGGTGGCAGCCCTTCAACCAGGTGCCCAGAGGCTGGTGGCACCTTACCCTGAAGCTCTGCTCATGCCACATGTCCTGCTGCCCTCCAGCTTCTGGTTGTCACCGGTGGGGCACGCTGAGACCATTAAACATTGCATGGAGAAGGCAGCAGGGGAATTAGATGGAGGAATATAGCCAGGAGTAGCAGCAGGAGGAAAGTGAGGAGGAGGAGGAGGAGAGACTCTGGGGGAGCAGAGAGGAATTTACCAGCTTTAGGCAGCTGCAAGGAGCCCAACAGCTGGAAGCCAAAAATAAACCTCAACAGTGAATCAATTTGCTCTGGGGAATGGGTGAGCTGGGGGAAGCAGCAGCAAGGGGGAGAGGATGGGGCAGCTGATGAACTGAGTGTGCAGGAAAACCCACAGAGCAATGAATCACCTCCCCAAAAAGCCCCTTTTCCTGAAACAAGGCAGAAAGCACAAGAGGCAGAAAGCACAAGAACAGAAAGAATTAAGAGGGAAAGGGAAGTTTTCCCCCGGTGAATAAACAGGCAGGGAGTCAATCAGGGAGAGGATAAATCAGAGTGAGCAAGCCATGGTGTGGGGCCTGGCTGCCAGAGGCACCTGGAGCGATGATCCCTCGATGTGTCCACCCTGCAGAGGGGCTGCAGGGCTGCCATGGGGACGTGCAGGACCTGGAGATGCTCCTCCAGAGCTGGTGCCAGTCCCCAGGTGATGGGAGCACAAGGAGGCTCAGGCTTGGGGAGGTGGCTGCAAATGTTGAGCTGGGCAGAGGAGGGGATGTTAGGCACTGCTGTGGGATGGGTGCTGGGTCCCAGGGACCAGGATGCAAAGCCCCCTAAACTCCAAAACACATTTTTGGGGCATGGGATGAGGCATTTGGAGTATCACAGACAATAGATATTGGGATCATGGTTTGGGTCATGGAACAACCTTTGAGGTTGGCTAAAATTTAATAGAAAGTATATTCAAAGCTCCTCAAGGAGCAGTCTACCTGTTAAACAGTGATGAGGAGAGCCTAGAAAAACTGTGGAGAGAAACAGGTTTGTTGAAGAAAATATTTAGTGTACAGAAGTTTTGGAATTTAAAGTTAAAAAAAAAAAATCTGTGGTGAGGCATCACAGAGATTGCATCTGGCAGAAGGTACAGATTTTTTTATTAGGACATGGCTGCTTTTGGCCACCATAGGAGAGACCCTGTGTAGAGCAAGGAATCATGATTTGTAAATGAGTTTTGGGTGTTTTATCAGAAAAGAAGGAATTTGGGGCAGCTTTTTTTCCAAGCTGAGTGCCCCAGACAATAGACTGGAGTCCAGCCCCAGACACTAGACTGGAGTCCAGCTCTGTCCCTGTTCCATCCTCACCCATCCCCTCATCACTGCTCCATGAGGCTGTTTTAGGAAAAGGATGGTGGGCATGTGTCACCATGCTATTTTCTGAAAAATCCCTTTGCCAGATTTTTTCTCCTGAGAAGCTGAGAAGCCTCAGAAAAGAAATGTAAACAATATTATCTGATCACTTCTCCCTATGTTTTGCTGCTTTAGAATATGACAGGTGCATCTTTCATTGGTTCCATCTGAATTGTTTTAATTTAATGACCAATCCCAGTCCAGCTGTGTCGAGACTCTGGTCAGTCACAAGTTTTTATTATGCATTCTTGTTTTAGCCTTCTAAAATATCCTTTCTCTTTCTTTAGTATAGTTTTAGTACATAATATAATATAATATAATATAATATAATATAATATAATATAATATAATATAATATAATATAATATACATATACATATACATATACATATTATATATATTGTATATATTATATATATTATAATATGTATTATATTATATAAATATATTATATTTAGTATATAATATAATATACTATATATAGTATAGTATATTATATATACTATACTATAATATATATTATATTATATTATATTATATTATATTATATTATATTATATTATATTATATTATATTATATTATATTATATTATGTTTATTATATTTATTATATTATATCAATGAGCCTTCTGAGAACTTGAAGCAAAATTCTCATCTCACCTTGTCCTAGAGACCCTCACAACACCACAAATGCTGGAAGGGCTTTGGAGCTGGGCTTGTGTATGTGTGGGAAGGGGTCATTTCTCCCACCATCCGCCCCCTCCCCGTGCAGCTGCTCTCCAAATCAGCCTTTCCCAGTATCCATCCCAAGGGTCTCCAGCATCCCAGCACTGTGCTGGGGAAGGGAATGTCCATGGACAGCTGCGGGCAGCTAACGTGGACAGAGAAATTAAGATTGTTCACATGGACAGAGGAGCTTTCCTGTCAAGCTCTACACGCCTCAGTGGGGATGGAGATGCTCCCACCTCCCATCCTTGGGGTTTGCTCCAATCCCAAGGCTCCGGTCTCCACGGGCTCCAGGGAAGAGCAGCGGTCCTGCTGATGTGCGGCCGTGCTGTCACTAGAGGGAAGCAGATCCATGAGCACGGGGCTGGGCTGGCATCGCCGCAGCTGCTGTGGCAGCCAGGGGACAGTGTGCAGAGACACCCCGAGCAGCTCTGAGCTGGAGAAAGGGGACACCTTCGTCCCCTTGCGCTGGGCAGGGCGCCAGCGAGGGGCAGTGCGTGAAAGGGACAGGGAAAGGAGCAGCTGAAGGGATGCTGGGCTCTCCAGGGACACACTTGGGTCTCGTGTCCCCTCTCTGCAGTGCCTGTCACTGCTGGAGAGCTGACACTGGAGGCTGAAATGGGGTTCAGGGGCACCCCATAATGCAGGGTCGTGGCCAGCAGGGCTGACTGGGGACTTTGAGCACCGTTTGCTCTGCCGAGGAGGTGGCACTGCTCCTGGGGACAGTGGGGACAGCTCATCGGGCAGGGCATCCCCTGCCACCACCCTGCTGGGAGCTGTCACCCTCCTGGAATGGGCTAATGGGGTCTGGGGGAGGAGGCACGAGGAGGCACGAGGTGGCAGGAAGGGGACAGGGCCCCAGATTGCCCTTAGAGGGATGACCATGGAGGGGATGACCAGATAAGGATGACCCAGGAGGGATGACCATGAGAGGCTGACCATGAAGGGATCATCATGGTGGGGTGACTATGAAGGGATCCCATGAGAGATGACCATGAGAGATAACCACAGAGGGATGACCAGGCAAGAATGACCCTGGAGGGATGACCAGGTAAGAATGACCCTGGAGGGATGAGCATGGGGAGATGGCCATGGAGGGATGACCATGGGAGGTTGACCATGAAGTGATGATCATGGGGGGTTGACCATGAAGGGATGACCATGAGAGATAATGAGGTAAGGATGACCCTGGAGGGATGACCATGAAGGGGTGACCATGGAGGGATGACCATGGGGGGATGACCAGGTAAGGATGACCCTGGAGGGTTGCCCATGGGGAGATGACCATGGAGGGATGACCATGGAGGGATGACCATGTAAAGGTGATCATGAAGGGGTGACCAGGTTGTGTTGGTGGTTCTGCTGTTCTGTGGACCCCGGGGAATGTGCAGCACCCACTCATGGAAGCCACACCACCCACAGACAAGGCTGGTCCCCAAACCAGCAGCTCTGGGACCTGGAGATTTTCTCATTTATGAAGATGAGCAGTCAAAATAGTAATTTCCCCCTTCACCCCTGGAGATTTGGAGGATTCCCCTCCTCTCCTTGCATGCTGGGCTGGATCCACTTACACCCTGAGCTCTGCCATGGAACTGCCTTGGCCACAACTCACCTTCAGCCCATCCACACCTCTGGGGAAAGCTTTCCCCAAGCATTTGTCAGCTGCAGATCGGGATAATTTCCTGGCATATTTGGAAAGAAATGCATCCTGTACATTTCTTCCATTTATTACTGCTCCTGAGAGATTTTTGATGCAAAGTCGACCTTATTCACCAGCAGCTGCCAGGAATTTAGTTCAATAACAGCTCTTGCTGGCAGAGTTCTGCCCATGTCAGTACAAGCCTCAATCATTGTGGTTCTCCCAGTGCAGGTCATGGAGCCTGGAAATGCCAGGACTTGCTGCTTTGGCCAGCACAGGGCTGTGTCTCTCTGCCAACCTCATACAATACAGGTTAACTTGCTGTTTTTCTCAATGCCATCTCTCCTGCAGAGATGGTTTATGGTACATAAAAAATCATTGCAATGAGGAAATAGGTTTGTTTGTCTGCTATAAAGTGCTGGTTTGGAAACAGGAGATAAAATATTAGCTGGTATTAGATCTTGAGCTCAACAGCTAAAAATTATTGCCAGCAGGAGTGATTTGGGTGAGGAGGGAGAGCCACATGCAAAATGGCTCGCATGGGAAGACAGAGGCAAAAAAAAAAAAAGACTGCAAGGTAAAAATAGTTTTGTATTTTTTGTGTTTTGTTCCTGAGGAGTGGAGGCCACTGGAACTCCTGGGGGGATCATTGTCCACTGGAGCAACAGCAGGCTGGGTGATGGGTGCAAAAAGGCTGCGGTATTGCGATGGCCTGAAGGCAAAAGAACAAGAACAAGAAGTGTTAATGAATGCCTTGTTTTTAAAAGGAAGTTTTCTCCCCATCAGAGAACTTCCTGCAGCAAAAACAAGTGCAGCTGCTCCTTTTTCTTCTTTCTTTCTTTTTTTTTTTCTTTTAATTATTATTTCTTTCTTTCAGATTTGCTGTTTGAGAAGGAACTGGTTGAAAACTGGTTCTGTGGTGCCCTGTGAGCTGACAAATTCCTGGACAGATGAGCACGTGGCAAAGGCTGCTTCAGCCTGCATAAGTGGCCCCAGTCACCAGCCAAACCAAACACTTGAAGTCTAAATCAAAGCCCAGAAAGAGCAAATCAGTGCTTAAGGTTCCTACCAAATCTCAAAGTCCCACACAGCAGAAATCAATGCCATGGAATGCCATGACTATGGATAATTTCCAGCACCACTGATGGCTTTGTGTTCCCCTGTAGCTGGACCTCTCAGTAAAGGTTAAATCAAGCTGTAATTGACCCTAAAAGCCAGAGAGACCAGCTTGAACACTGGCTGTGTCACTGGTCACCTGTTCCTTCCCAAGCTATGGACCATGGACAGGCCAGCAGAGTTGGTAGGGACAACTTTTCCATTGGGTTGAGTTCAGCCTAGGGACAGAGCTGATCATTTGGGTGATAACACATCCTCTGCACCCACAAGCTGTACTCTGGGACATTTTCTCCATTTTTATGGTGCCTCTGGAGCTGCTCCTTTATGACATTACCCCAGGTACAGAACCATTCTGTGAGTTTAAAGGGCACACATTCACTCCTGACATCGACTCGTTGGGTTTGCCATGCGTCTGATGCAGTGACTTGTTTTGTTGGCTGTTTTCCTCTTTTTTACCAAGGTTTCTTGGGCTGCCTTTAGCAGCAGAATTAAGTAGCTGCATTCACATGTTCAGCTCCACTGAACAAGTGAAGTTTCACAGGCAGCTGTAAGAGCTGGATTCAGGAATGTTGTTTTTTTATCCTCTGCTCTTTGTCAGGACATCTGGGTTCTCCTCCTGCCCTTGTCTCCTGTTACCCAGAGAGGATCAGGAGGACCTTGCAAGCCTAAGATGTCACCAGTACCTAAAAGTGTAAAGGTGGGTGTCAAGGGGATGGTGCTAGACTCTTCTCAGTGGTGCCCAGTGACAGGACAAGGAGCAATGGCCATAAACTAAAACACAAGAAGTTCCATCTCAACATGAGGAAGAACTCCTTTACTGTGAGGGTTGCACTGGAAAAGGCTGCCCAGGGAGTGTGTGGAGTCTCCTTCTCTAGAGATATTCCAACCCCACCTGGATGTGCTCTGTGTAACCTGCTCTAGGCAGGCAGGACCTCAAGACCTCCCTTCCATCATTAAAGATTCTGTGATTCTGTAAGAAAACGTGAAAATTCAGCCAGGACTGTGCTGATGGACACAGTGCAAAGTAGGGACAGCAAGTCTGCTCCAACATCATTTTCACATGGAGGAAAGAGCAAGGAAAATTAGTCCAATGGGTCACTTTCCAGGGGAGAGATGCAGTTGAAGTTCTTCGATGCACAAGTGCTGATTTGTGTCAGTAGCTGCAGTTATGGTTATTTATATTTAAGGACACACCATGTAGCCAGACAAAAACCTATAGACTCATGATATAGACATGGACAACCAGGGTTAGGGTCCTGCCCTGTCCCCAGGACCCCCAGTCATCCCCTGGTACCTCTGGACCCTACTCTGGAGTCCAGAGGATGCAGTGCTGAGCACACTGGGGCAAAACTTGAGGGCAGCCATTCAGCCAGCCCTTCTTCTCTGCCAGGTCTCATGAAAGGAAGCGAATTTCTGGCCAGAAAGCTGGGGGGAGGTGTCTCTTTGGGGCTTGGAGGGGAGATGTCTCTTTGGGGCCAGCCAGTGGGCCTGGCTGGGGAGTTGTTGTAGGTGTTGCATGGATTTGCCCATCACTGGCACTGCTGCAGGAGAAATCTGACAGCAGGGAATGATGGAAAACAGCCCTTGGCATGCCAAGGGGCTGCAGGGCTGATGCTTGCCTGCCAGTTCATCTCCCATCTCCAGGAATTATGGCTTTTTATCTGGTCCTACAGGGCTTTATCCACCTCACAGTGCTCACATAAAATTTCTGCTCTCTCCCTTTGGTGGCACCCCTCCAAAGGAACAGGGTCACACTGAGATTGCTCCCAAGAGTGATTAGGGATTGGAGCAGCCTGGCAAAGCCCCACACCAGGTATGGCTCTGTCTTGTAGGAAGTGACTGGGAATAATGCCCAGGGAGCTGCTGGAGAACACTTGACTGAGGCACCACCCTGCTCCTGGCCCCTGGCTGCACCCAGACATCTTTTTTAAAAGGAAAATTCCTGTTCTTTTGAACTCAAGTGTAAGAAATCTGACCTTCTCAACTTCTGCTTTTCATTTTTGCCTGGTAAGCATCTGTGCTGGTGACCCCACATGCTCCCAGTCACCAAGTTTCCCTTTCATGGCCAAAGCTCCTTGCAGCACAGAAAACACAGGAGAGAAAACTCCCCTCCACTTCCCATCCTTGGCCAGTATTTGCTCTGGGGGGTTCGAGTTGCCATTGACCACCAACAGGAGTTCACTGATGCTTTGGGAGTCAGTGGAGTGTGAGACATTTAAGGGATTGAATTGCAAACCCCTTCTCCTCCTTGTTTGTGAGGGCTCCTACTGTGCAATGGCACTTGGTGCTTTGGGGACAATTTCTAGGAGTGTTTGCAGAAAATGGATGGCTGTAATGCTGTTATCATCATCATGAATTTCAAGGTGGTATTTTTCCACCTAGAATATCTCTCTAACTTGTTTTGATCCTGTTAAATATTAATCCCGCTCCCCTATGTCCTTAAACTCCTTTCCTGCTTGGAAGAGAATGTGAATTCAACAAGGAAATGGTTTCCTCCATCAGCTGAGCTACCAGTGAAGGCATTGAACAGGACCTTGGGAGGCTGTGGAAACCCAGGTTCTTCTACTCTGGTGTGGACCATTAAAGGCCACAGTACTCTGGGAGCACTTCCCATCACTTCCCACATGTCAGAACCCAGGAAAATCCTTTGGCTGCCCTGGAGGGCTTGAGCCCCTGCCCTTGAGCTCAGATACCTTTGCACAGAGCCCAAGACCCCTGTGCCTTTGATTTAGCCCTTGGAAAAAACAATTACCAACCTTTATATGAAGAATTACGAGTCAAGAAAGTTTAAGTAGAATAATAGTTAGTTTGTCACAGGGTGAAAAATAGATTTTTGAGGTTTTTAGAATGGGGGCTCGGGGTCCCAAGATGGAGGAATTTGGGTGTGCCCTGTCCTTTTTCCTTCTCCTTCCTAGCCTCCATCTTCTGGGTGATGTTGGCACTTTTGGATTGGTTTAAGGTAGAAGCTCACTGTCTAACACAGGTGATAGGTATTGGGAAGTTATGGTAAATAATATATATGTAGTTTTTAGTATAAAGGATAACACTGCCCTGAGGTGGTCAGAGTGCCTCTGTCTGACCTGCTGAGCAGACTTCAGCAGGCCAGGAGAAAGAATTTTATAGATAAGAAACAATAAACAACCTTGAGAACAAGAACAGAAGAATCCTGACTCCTTCAGCTGCCAGGCTGGGAAAAGAGACTCTCTAACACATCTCAGGGTCACTCTGACCAGCAGAGATTCTGAGACCCACAGGTATCCCAACACATTGTGTCAGCCTCTGGTCTCTCAAACACTGCCACGGGAGACATGATCCCAAGTCTTTATAAAAAGAAGCAATATGAAATCATCTGTCTCTCCTTTACCCACAAGGTCTGCTACCAGCTCACAAGAGGAAATGAGACTGGTCTGAGAAAATCTGGTCTTTACAAACCCTCTCTCTCATGCTACTTTACAGGTGCTCACAGAAAGGTGGCCTCAGCAGTTGTTCTGGAATTAAATGAAGCTCATCCTCCCAGGTTTATAGGTTCTGGGGTCCATCTTTTCCTTCCAACCCCTTGTTTCTAAAGACAAGCATGACTTCCCCTCTTTCTTCGTGTGAAAGCATTTTCTTACCCTGCTCAAATTCCTCAATTTTTAGCAGCTGTTTTTAAGCATTGCAGCGGAGTCCCTGAGACAGGCAAGGTGAAGGCACCTCCTGCTCCTGGGTACTCTCTGCTTTGTAGATGTCCTCATCAATAACCACCCTGTGCACTGAGCAGCACATTCAGAGTTCCTCCTGGTCATATGCTGATGGTCAGAGCACCTAAAAAGGGAACTTTCCATTGCTCCAGATCAGGTGTGAGCTGTGTTTGGCCTTTCTCATTTAGTCCCAGTAAGCTCAACATAAGGAGGCTCATCTCTTCGAAGCTGACCTGGTTTCTTTTTTATGCCACCCTGAAGCTGGGGTCAGTGAAGAGCTTGAGATTTATCTGGCCTGTAGTGATGCTTCTTTCCTTCACTTTACAGAACTTTCTTATAATTTATTTTATGTTAGGAACTAGTCAAGAGGACAGGCTTGTGTGTTCAGCTATAAGCATTTGCAAATCTGAATTTCAAAACTCTTCCAAAACACCTTTAAAGAAGAAAAATGATGGTTAGTCATAGAACTATTAACTAAGGAAAAGAGCAGATTTTAGGACCTGAAATAAAGGGTGAATTTGTAGGTTATTTCCCCTTTGGCCTGACTAGTGTAAAAAATCTTTTCAATTATTGAAAGCTGTCCTGAATCACCAACTGTAGTACAGGAAATGGCTTCAAATTGTGCCTGGGGAGGTTTAGATTGGATATTAGCAAAAAATTTATTCACTGAAAGAGTTGTCAAGTGTTGGACAGGCTGTCCAGGGCAGTGGTGGAGTCACCATCCCTGGAAGGATTTGAAAGATGTGTAAATGTGGCATTTGGGGATGAGGTTTGGTGGTGGCCTTGGCAGTGCTGGGTTAGCATTTGGACTTGGTGATCTCAGAAGGCTTTTCCAACCTAAATAATTTTGTTATAATGCTGACATCCTCCTCCTTGATGGGCTGATAGACAGAATGTTAAATCAACCTTTCTGCAATGTCAGTAGCTAACATGTTTAGGATTTACAATAGGAATAAAATAATAATCCAGCAGTAAGGGCAGCCAATGCAGTTAGGTAATGCAGGTAAGGATGTGCTGCCCAGGCATGTGGTGGAGTCTACAATAAAGAATTTTTTGTGAGTTGAAGGGACAGGCAGCTGCCAGGATTGGTGTATTCTGGATTGAACCTTTCTGGAGGTTGGTGGTGAACAAAGTGCCCTTTCCAGGATAATCTGCTGTGCCATTTGGGACACTCACAAGCTCCCAAGTGCTTCATGTTGGTTATATCAAGGTAGGGAGGCCGAGGCAGAGGACTTAGGAGTTTGCAATGGTCCTTTGGCAAGTACCTGTGAAAGCTGAGGTCGGAGCTCAGGAAACCCTGGCTCCCACCCTGCAGCTGGCAGGGTGTTGTTCATAACAGCAGAGACAAGCCAAAGGAAGACCAAGCCTGACACTTCTCATAAAGAATTTTGCTTGTGTTCACAAGTTGAGTGCACACCATTGCGCTTTGCCAGCGAAACTCTTGCTGGCTGGAGTGGCTCACAGCAAAGATAAAGAGGTTTTCTGCTTCAAGGCAAGGATCCCATACAGCTGCTTCATGGGGCTTGTGTTGAGAGGAATAGTAGATTTGTCTTTACAAACAAGCTGTGGGTCTGCTGGTAGATAAAACTAGCCCTGGAAGATAAAAGAAACAATAGGAAGGATTCCACTGATTGATGAATGGAAAATGATGTCTGCTTT